AGTATCTGATCATTTAGAAGGGGCATTTTCTGGAACAGATGACTTCTCCTACACAGAAACTGATCTCTAAGTTGCAACTACTCCAGAGATATTATCAGATGATGATAAAATGGTGAATAAAAAGCTCTAAAGAACATAAAAGATATAATGGTACAATGTAACACTGTTGCAAAAAGGATTTGATGAATGTAAGGAGCTTGTAAAGAAAAGCGACTGAAGGAGCTTTGTGGATGAAAGGCGAAACCTCTCAAGAAACTTCCAGTTGCTTTTCGTTCCAAGCTCCTTAGATTACTCTGACCTGGATGACTGAGAACCTCCACAGACAATGTGATGAATGCCGCAGAAAATCATTAATCTGGTGATTTTAGCACACAAGGTGATAACAATTTAAATTCAGCTTAATTAGCCACTATGCTCTCCATGTTACTGTTTCTTTCTAAGGTGACAGGCCCATTTAAACATTGAAGCTTAAATAATACTGCCCCACAGTTTAATAAAGGAGACATGGAAATCATTTTAGTTTGTCAGCATAGTTTTAGTTTTTATTCTCCCAGCTGCAGACTCAGAGATGTTTAAGGGTTTGGAAGATTATTTACAATCTGTTTTTTATATTTACAAGTTGGTCTATGTACAAATTTGATGTGAGATGAGCAAGTACAGCATAGGTGTCATATTTTAAGATGCTTATAGAAGAACACAACTATTTTTAAATTGTTTGCTCCAAATAAATATAACAAAGTCAAATAATAAAGCTGTATCTGAGAATCTAAGCTCCAGGGAGGCAATATAAATTGCCCCCTAAACCTAATAACAAGTTGGGTCACCCTTAGCAGCAACAGCTGCAATCAAGCATTACTGGCAATGAGTGTTTTACAGCACTGTGGAGGAATTTTGGGCCCACTCATCTTTGCAGAATTGCTGTAATTCAGCCACACTGGAGAGTATTCGAGCATGAACTGACTTTTTAAGGTCATGCCACAGCGCTGTTGGTGTGATGTTCCTTTTCTAAAATGCTGTGTTTGTTTTATGTAGATGTAATAGAACACACATCTTCCAAAAAGCGTTGCTCTTTGAGATGTTTTAGCCTGCTTCACTTTGTCAGACAGGTTATATTTAAGTGATTTCTTAATTTAACAGCTCTGCCAGTAATCAGGCCTGAGTGTGTTAATTACTTTTTCACACTTGACCAGGTAGGTTTGCCTAACTTTTCTCAATCAATGAAAACGTCATGCTTTTTGTATTTACTTTGGGTTATCTTTGTCTAATATTAAAAATCATTTGATGATTTAAAACATGTAAGTGTGACAAATAAGAAAAAAACTAGGAAATCAGGAACACCACTGTATGATCAGAATGCAGTGTTGTGCCAAACACATTTTGGGTTTTCAAGATGAACTCTATAAACTCTCTATAGGATCCTATTGTTCAAGCGTTTTTTATCTGTTTAATACTTTCATTGTCATTTGTGTTATTTCAGTAATTACATTATATGTGGCATAGTATGACAATGTTTGAGACAGGACAGGCAGGTAAAAAAAAAAAAGGAAAGGGGGGAGAAAATGGGGAAAAATATAATAAATGGACAGAGCACAAATAGAAATGTAGAGCGTATCACCAACTGCTGCACCTGTAAGAAAAAAAAACAAGCATACAGCATGTCCATCCTAGCAGGAGAAGCAAGGACGCCCCAGATGGGCCACACTTGGACAAAGCTTCAGAGTCCCAGAGGACTAGAAGCAACAGGCAGTCGACCCCGCTAGAGACTGGCCACCCTGGTACAAGCCGAGAACAGTTTTTAGTTTTTCTTTTTGCTATATTTACTATAATTAGATTTTCACTGTGCCACTGAAGAAACATATTTAAAAACTCTCCGCTGCTTCACTTCCTCTGACCATGTGGTGGCAGCAGAACTCAATATCTGACTTACTACTAATACTCGTACTACTGTCAGTGAAACATATGTACAGCTTGTTTAGTGGAACTAATCTACATGTATACAGACTATATCTGGAATTTTCGTTACCAAAGGAAAGGAATTTAGCCAAACAATTCAATATGATAAACAAAACACAGCTTTAAACTTACAAATGAAAGCAGAAAAACATTCAACATGTTTCATTTTGTCTCCCGGAAATGTTTGATGATTACTTTATGGTTTACAAAATGTCTCACATAGGATGATTACAAAGTATAAGGTTAGGATCACTGGGCAGTAACTGTTATTTGACATCTGGATTAGATTTTTATAAAAGGAAAGAAATTAAAGTTAGCTTTATTGTCAGCTCCAATATGAAGAAAATTGTAGAAACATAGAAATAAAAAATACAAAAACCAAAATACACAAAGTAAAATAAAAAACTTGAGACAAGAAAATGCCATAAAAAAAACTGTGTGTAATAGAGTGAGTTGTATATTACAGGTATGATAATGTCCTTAATGTATGTTACCATTTATGGTAAATGTTTGTTTTTTTTCACATTCTGCAAATAAAAGAGATAAATTGATATGAATCGGCTGTCCACTAAACCTCTAAACCTTGCAGTGCAGGCCTGTCGCCCTCTACAGATTTTCAGTAAAGCAGTGCAAACCGAGCTCTCATAAGAGCTTAAAAATCAGGGTGATAAAATGAACCATATGTTTGTTCTAACATAAACTTCATTTCCGACTAAATAGCTTTTTCTCTTTTTTAGGTTGTGATAGATGTACTTTATTTGCTTTTACAGCTAGTAGCTCTTCTTTAAGAGTTCCCAGTAACTCTTGGAACTTTAGTAGATTATTTTTCTTTAACTTTGAAACTGAAACATATAGTTTTAAATGACAAAGAAGTGTCTTAGTTAAGTAAACATTTTGACAAGATAGCACGTATTTTCCTATTTTTTATGCCACATGTCTTTATTTCCATATTTTCATGAGCATTATCAGGTGTGAC